CAAAGAAAAAATTATTTAATACAATGGTAGATTATACTTTTTGGAACTGATTTTCTGAAGAAAATAGAAATTCAACGATTAAAGACAGGAAAGATGTATGTAGTTACTATGAGGAAGTATTCAGTTGAGTTTTTAAATTCCTTGTATTACTATTTAATTACCTTGCTTATAATAAAATTGAAAAATACGAACACTGTTTGGGAAAAAATAATCAAAGAGCTTTTCCTGTGCTAACTAGTATATAAGTTCATAGATGCTTTAAGAATGTGTAAAAGCTATGTTGCGTGGGATTCTATGACAAGTTTTATAAAGACTGATTAGATAAAAGATATATCAATGTTCAACAATTTGCAAGTTAACTTAAAATTAATTTGAATTCTTTTCGAATCTTGTAATCGACAAGGGCATACACAAATTTCATATGAGAACCTCTTCAGAATTTTTGTCAATTAATACAGAGATACTTGGAATGATTTAAGTAATCGCGCTCAGAATAATATTCTTCCATTCCTTACTGGAAAAACAATTGCATTGAAATATGTAGCTTATGATGTTAATTAACTGCATTGTATATTTGTGAAAATTTATGAATATATTATGTAGACAAGAACATACAACTTCTTAATTGGTGTAATAATTATTGTATCTTCATTGATACTTTTTATGTTACATAATTATTTTTTAACGTATAAAAATACAAAAGAATGATTCAATACCTTCTGTGTAAATTTAATTAAATATACATTAAGCTATGATTAAAATGAAACAATTACAAATATTTCTTCCTTTATTAACATTCTTTCATTATTGTATTCATTTATATTTATGTAACAATTATGTTATTCTAAAAATATAGCTAAACAATGTTACTCATATACGAAGAGATAGCTTATGCTCTTTTAATTGTATAATTTATATTTATAAAAATTATTATCATTAAGAAATGTTCATACTTCTTTTTAATACGTTTATAAAAATATTGTTTGATTAACAGTTAAAAAGCTTGAAAACGAAGTATTTCCTTCCTTAATTTTATATTCATCAGATTTCCTGTAAGTTAAATAAAACAAGTTACTAAACGTATATACAAAATAATAAGGACCAATTAATTAGTTGTTTAAAAGCAGAAATCCTTCTGCAATTATCAAGAGTAGTTAAACACGTATCTTGATTATCATCACTCGAGGAAACAGATAATTTCCTTGCAAAGAACTTTATTATGATGATAATAAAATTGTTGTTCTACAAAAATATCAATCTTTCACTCAATTATTTCAATAATCATACACATTTTAGAATAAGATTATAAATAAAAAGTATATAATAATAATAAAATAAGAAAATAAATTGGATAGCAAAGATGTACTTACTATGGGACAAATTCCGGAGTAGAGTGCAATCATAAATATTGCATATCCCTTAGACGTCTCGCTCGGACACCCATACATGCAAAGAATCCCATAATTCCGATGATTAATCCAAGGATCAATGCCAAGGTATCGCCAAAATCGAAACCAGACGAAGCCGCCGCAAAATCGAACGTAGAAAAAATAGCAATCAGCATATAAATCCACATCTTCTTACGACAATAAACAGGCGTGATAAATAATAACCTCTACAACGATATTCAACAATAAATGCAACACTTTCTACAACAAGGATCACAGATCTCTAATATTTCTTAAACTTACAACAAATTGCACTATAAGACTTTTATTATTTTCTGCGTTCTACACGTACCGCACTATGGTTGACGTTTTTGCGACGCTTAGCTAATTAATTGTCACCGAGTTACAATAGAAATGCGAATATTACAATACTCATTATTTAATATATTATTTAAAAAAATTCCATGTAGACAAATCTTATTCGATTATAATGGATTAAATTTGTAAATACAAGTTGTATTCTATTTATACTATGGACGCTAGAAATGGCGCACTTTTTTTTATCGAACACTGACTGTAAATCGTTAAAAATAGAAAGCAGTTGTACAGAAAGTAATTGGATTAATTAAAAAATAGAATAAATCGATAGAAATTTTAATAAACAATTTGCCGTTAAACCATAAATTTCGTGTAAAGCATATCGCGTCTCATTTCCGAACATAGAACGCCTACGAATGAAAATGGCGTACGACGCCATAAGATATTGTGTGAGTGCATATCAAAGAATAGTTTATCTATAATAAAATATATCAAATTTTTACTATTTTTATTGTATAGTACTTTTTATTGTAACAGAGTTTCAAATACCTTTTACTGTTAACAAAATGTGATCCGTAGAATTTTTCAACCGTTCAGCCAATCAGAATACAAGATGTCGCGGCTTGGGTCGTTCCATTTTCGAATGCAGTCAACGCAACCTAATTTAGTGACGATAAGGATGCAGCTGTGCGATGCTTAAGGTGGCGTCACTTACTTACTGGGGGAAGTATAGAGAGAGATATTATATTGGCGCGTATCGACCGAGCAAAACAATTTTTTCCATCGCCGCTTATACATTTCAACAATTCGAGACAGGTACAGTGAACAAAATCATCCACGTATCTGTTCATTTCTCGACCGGAAGTATTTCGATTTTTTACGCTTTAGCGTGTACCTTTTCAAGGAGATTATCGTTGCCGTTTTGTAGCCATTTTGCTATCCGTTGATAAATGCAAGACATTTTCGTACCGACTGGTGAACCGCGTACTCTCGTCACATATAAAATACGAATGTCTGCACTGGAGCTCACGAATAATCGTTTCTCGCGTGCGAACGGTTCTTAGCATGCAGCTGTGCGCGGCGAAAGAATGTTTTACCTGGAAAGAATACGTCTGTTAATTACTCGGAGTGCAGAAACGTTGAACGCCAATATAAATCAATTTGAAAAGAAGCGGATCACTTGTAGAACGAACGTTTCGCGATACATTTTTCAACTTTGACTCGTTGTTTTCCTGGGATGTAGGATTGAAAACGTCATTATTTCATGAGAATTTTTCTGCTATTGATATACATGTATTTTGTGCATTTAGAAATGAATGAAAAGGAAAATATAATAATTAGTGCCAGACAGTATTGTGAAATGCTCCTTATAAAGGTACATTCTACCTTCAAGAAAGTGTGGATTGAGTATTTAAATTGTTTTAAGTGTAGAAGGTAAATACTTTGCATGCAGAGGGATGAATGGATAGTTGTTTTAAAGTTTAAATGTAACATTAATCGCGTACTCAAATTTTTAGAGAGTTAGAAACTATAAAAACGGTATATAACATGCAGCATTATGTTTCGTAATTACTTTATGCTGCAACACATAAGTAAAGTTTGTTTTTTTCTTTTAAGAGGCTCTTCCTGAATAATAGTTCTTAATCTAAAGCCACCATGGAAACGTGTCACGAAGTGTTAGACACGATAGATGTTAGTAATGATAAGAATATGATGGAAGTATTGAAGGAGACAATTTCGGAGGAGAACATTGTTGTTGAATCCGAGACTACCGAAGATTCTGTAGAAACAGAAATAGAAGAAATTATAGAAATAATAGAAGAAGTGGAAGAAGAAGAAGAAGAATCGCAAGATGGTTCCTTTTTGGAAGATAAAGATATGAAGGAGGATCAGAATAAGAAATGTACAGAGAGACTGGAAAATGATCAATATGATGAAACCTCAGAAATGGAAGTTTATGCGTACGAAGAAAGTGGTACAGTTGTAAAAGTAGAGGATATAAAAGAGAATGAGAAAAATGAACAGTCTCAAAGAAATAGTATTAAACAAGTAATAGCATATGACGTAGATGAAGATTGGCAGGACGAGGATATGGAAGAAGAAGAGGAATACGAACAGAACTCTGACACAGTTAGTCATTGTACAGAATCATTGCAAGAGCAGAGAATCCTACACGGCGAAAGAAAATCTCTAAATAATCAAACAAACAGTTTTCCTTTACAAACAAGTAGACCAGAATCTGGAAGCAGTGTAGAATCTATGGACAATCTAGAAAAGCTCAAACAAAGTCAAGATTATAAAAATAATGTAAATAATGAAGAAACTGTTGATAATAGTGTAAGTCATGAGATCGTTAAGAATGTTGAAAACAATTTGTTGTATACAGTCCTTGGTACAAAGAAGCAAACTCCTGTAAAAACATTACACACAGATAAACTGTCCGATACTCATTACATTAAGGTGTGTACAGTTTCTGTATCGATTGATATGAGAATTGTAATTATTATTACCACATCTGAAGACAAAGTCCTTGTTTATAGATGCAGCAACTCGACGAGAACACCATACCAGTTGAAGGAACAATTTATTATGAAGGAGATAATATAGAAACTTTGTATGTTGCTCAGGCTGTAGATGATGGTGAACAGTATACATATGATACTACATCGATGGAACAAGATGAACAAGTATGGGAAGCAGATAACACAGATACCAATCAGACTCAAGAGAAAGAGAATTCTCAGGTAATATCTTCTAAAATTAAATTCTTAATATTCAAAGCTCCCTAATTTCAATGCAATAAACACTTTACTCGATTTTTAGGACCAAATATTTTTACACGAAGATGAAGATGGACAGCTGTATTTCAAGGATGAATCTGGAGTTCTACAGCCAGTATATTTAACCGAAGATGGACATTACGCCATTGCAGAAGGCTACAACCAAGAAAACAAAGAATCACAAGTTAAATCTCAACAAAATACAAAACAAATGGAAGAAGAATCCTATTCTGCTCCAGACACTGATCTTAAATCCCCTAGCAGTAACAAACAGGTATCTTCGACCATTCCTAAATCTATATCAGTATAGTATTAAATTATAAATTTATATTAGTACTATAGCATCTCTTTGATTTAGAATTCTGTGGTGTCTACTGGTGATCTCGATAACGAAGATAATACAGTGACAATATCACTGATAATATCCGAAGATGAACATGGCCAGAAGAGAACACAAGTCATTATACCCACTACGGATAATCTAAAATGTAATATTTGTAATAAAAATTTCAAGACGTCTTTCCAATTACTCCGTCACAATCGATTAAAGCACGCAAGGGAGGAGGATATTACAACAAGGAATTTCCCATGCGATCTGTGCCCTAAAAGGTGAGTTTTCTATAAATTATATAACAAAATATTTATTTACCGGTGCAAGGAAATAACTGATTTACTCCTGTGTACAGGTATCCGGATCAAAACTCGTTAGCTCGTCACAGAAAGACTCATACTGGTGACCGACCGTTCCAGTGTCTTGAGTGTCATAAAAATTTCCCTACGTCGACTGCTCTACGCCGTCACTTGACGCTTCATAATTCACAGTCACGACCTCTTCCATGTATCTATTGCGGTCGTCGTTTCGTAGAGAAAGCTAGTCTGGTTAAACACGAGCAATCACATTTGGCCGCTGATCAATGGACGCACACGTGTGACGTATGTCACAAGTCATTTTCACATGCAACCGATTTGAGTCTGCATAAAAAGTATCATGATCCTGATAAGAAATTTGACTGTGAGGTTTGTGGTCGAGAGTTCAGCCGATTGAACAATTTGCAGAGACATATGATGGTACATCAACAAGTACGTATGATCAATATGATCTTAGCTATTAGATTCCTCGTATCTCGGTACAAGAAGAAATGTTCCATAGAGTTTACCATTTCTCATATTTCCTGCAATTTGTGCACATTACGTGAATTTACTGAATCTCATTGTTCATTATTGAAATAACCTTTTAAATATGCCCAGTGGTTACATATTTTTATAATTATTAAATGCAGCAAGGAGCTAACGAGGAGATACTCTCCTGCGATGTCTGTGGCATTACCTATAAATTTATGAGTTCGTTGACGAGACACATGGTGACCACGCACATGAACCCAGAGAAACTGAGACAGCAGGCGGAAGAACAGCGAAGGAAACGAGAAAATAATTATCGGCGTTACTTGGAAAATCGAAAAATGTACGAAACTCAGCATTCTGGCGGATATGGTACGAAACGTAATTACCAAGATACACGTGCACTTAGCAAAACCAGCGATGAAGTGGTTTGATTCGAATTTTCTAACGGCTACTGTTTTACTAGGGAAATCATCATGATAAGACTAAATATCTCCGAATGGAAGGAAGAAAAGAGAGAGAAAGAGAGAATGGCAGGAAAAGTACGATAAATACTATGCGCGATGTAGTGATATTTCTATATAATTTTATTGCTATAGCAACAATAGATGTGCATTTAATTTAATAAAAATATAAAGAATGTAATCTCTATAAAATGTTCACCTATGCATCTTTATAAGAATTCTTACGTATACTTTGAGAGACGGAGGAAAACTTGTATCTATTTAAGATAATCTATGTATATATAAATATAAAGCTAATTTTTATTGTACATTAAGGATTTGAATTGTAGATATAACTATCACTAGCAATATTCTAATATATAAATATTTGATTTGTAAGACTTGTATAATAAAAATTACATATTGTAGGTAAGTATACGCAAAACGTTTGTGAGAATAAAATCATTTTATAAGTGAAACTTTCCAATAGAAAATTTAATAATACGCATACATTATACATGTATCAACTGTTGCTAATATTCTTTATTGTTGTAATGTATAATGCATACATATATAGTGCGTATCTGTCACATGACAAGTGTAAATAAGATACTTAGTGATACCTTGCGAGTGTGTGTGCACGTGTGCGTGTGTAGTCATATAAGCCTCGTTTGTGAAGTTTGTGGTCAGTATTTCAATGAAATAAGCGCGGGTTAATTTTGTTATTCTCCTGAGTACTTAAAAGTTTGTTTAAAAATTCCTGTTTGTAAATTACTAGTATTAAGGAGCAATTAATATCGAATGTAATAGCTGTGGAAACAAGGTAACACGTAATAGTTATCATTAAACACAATCATTGGAAAGATTACTTCAAAAAAATCTTTAAGGTTACTTCATTTAATTTGTTTCTCCAAGTGCGCGATTACTTCGAACATTTAGTTTCTTAATAATAAAAATACTATTAGTAATGAGAGTCGAAATAATAATTCAGCAATAAAATCAATTAAATTTTAAAACGACTTGATATGACGCATTTTTATTTCATAAAATATATATATGTATCGAGAAAAATATATTTCCGCGTCTTATGTAATAGAGTTTTTATTTTGAATAAATACAGATACAATGCTGTTGAGCTTATGATATTTTTAAATCTATATATACATCATAAGATTGTACTGTATATTAAAAATATCTATTTGTTACAGATAAATAGTAGGAGATCGTTCAAATTCTTAAACTTTTGCTTGGAATTAATTTAATGACGAGTACCTAATTACCATTACCATGGAAAAACATGATGCATTATTACAAATACATTTAGAGAGACCTATTTACGAGCAGGAAACATTAAATGAAGATTATCACTATGAAAAGCCTCACATATCTGGTATATAAAGAGATAATAAACGTTTTAAGATTTAAATGTAAATCATCTTAAAGATTGCATTGATTCCCACAGTTGTAAATGATGCAATAAACGCCTTGAGGTGTAAAAATTGGAAAGCATGCGTGACATCTGTAATTCCGTCGATAAATTGGTTGAGGGACTATCAGTGGAAAGATGCTATAACATCTGATATTATTTCTGGTTTGACTGTGGCAATTATGCATATTCCTCAGGGCATGGCTTATGCACTTCTGGGAAATGTTCCAGCCGTAGTTGGAATATACATGGCATTCTTTCCTGTCTTAATATATTTCTTCTTTGGCACATCTAGACATGTGTCAATGGGTATGAAAAACGTTACTGTTAAAATTTTCATAATAAAATGAGACAGATAGAAAAGATTTTGAGTATCTCAAAAAAAGTGCGAGTATTAACTTTTTTAGTGTTTCATCGCTGGGCTTTTGTACATTTAGTAAAATAGTACTTCTCAGGAACTTTTGCCGTGGTTTGCTTGATGACTGGGAAAACAGTGATGACTTATTCGAAACCACATGATATGCATATGAATGGTACGGATTTATTATCCACTCATCCTGGAGAAGTTTCATTTTCATATTCATTTACACCCATGCAGGTAGCAACAGCTGTTACATTAGTGGTTGGGATATATCAGGTAATGCTTTGTAATCTTTTGTTGTTCGTTCAGAATTATTAATGATTTTCTGCTTCTTCTTTCAGATCATAATGTACATATTTCATTTGGGGATTATAAGCACGTTACTTAGTGAACCTCTAGTAAATAGTTTCACCACTGGTGCAGCTGTTTATGTTTTGATATCCCAAATTAAAGATCTATTAGGCATAAAAATTCCAAAACACAAAGGATATTTCAAACTTATTTATGTGAGTATATACTACTAAAGGCAATTCCTTTCAAGCATACTATTTATTAAATTTAATTTTAGACATTAATAAGTATTTCTAAAGAAATACAGAATATAAATATCACTGCTGTGATTATATCATTAGTAACAATGATTGGTCTCGTTTGTAACAACGAATTTTTAAAGGTGAATATTACCTTTTATCATGAAAATATATAAATAATTATTCTGTAACTTTTAATATTATTTTAATAATAGCCATGGGCGAGTAAAAGATGTAGCATTCCAATACCAATTGAGTTGATAGCAGTTGTAAGTGGAACTTTAATTTCAAGATATCTTTGTTTACCTGAAAAATATAATATTCAAGATGTAGGTAATATTCCAACAGGGTATGTAATTATTTTATTTAATTCATTCACCTAAATATGAGTATCACAAATCTTAAATATAATTACCTTGAAATCAATCTAAAAATGTAATAGACTTCCAGTACCAGAGGTACCGACACTTGAATTATTACATCTTGTAGCATTGGACAGTATTGCTATAACTATGGTGTCTTACACTATAACTATATCAATGGCTTTAATATTTGCGCAAAAACTCAATTACAAAATTAATTCGAATCAAGAACTTCTTGCAATGGTAAGAAACGAATACCTTATTATCTTATTATTTTGCCAAAAATTTTAAAAACTGTTACATATAATTTCAATCTACAATTGCAGGGCTTAAGTAATGTATTTGGATCATTCTTCTCCTGTATGCCAGTATCAGCATCGTTAAGTAGGTCTTTAATTCAGCAAACTGTTGGTGGTCGAACGCAAATAGCTAGTGTTGTATCTTGTTTGATATTATTGACCATTCTTTTATGGATTGGTCCATTTTTTGAACCTCTACCAAGATGTGTTTTAGCATCAATTATTGTAGTAAGTACAAAAACACTTTATTTACCTATAAATTATAAATTGTTTATGCAAACCTGTGCCCGTTTCCAGGTAGCTTTGAAAGGGATGTTTCAGCAAGCCTCTCAGCTGATAAAGTTCTGGAAATTAAACAAGTACGATGCATTAATTTGGATTGTCACGTTTGTCATGGTTGTAATAGTGAATATTGATGTTGGTTTACTGTTCGGTATTATGGTATCACTTGGAGTTATTTTATTGCAAAGTATCAAGCCTTACACCTGTCTGCTAGGGCATATACCAAATACAGATTTATATTTAGATCTGAGTCGATACAGATCTGTATGTCTTTTTCATAATTATTCACATCGTTAACATTATTCTAACTTTCATTTATTTACTATATAATTTTTAGGCGATAGAAATTCCTGAACTGAAAATTTTCCAGTACTGCGGTACTTTGAACTTTGCCAATTGTAATTACTTCACATCAGAGTTGTACAGAATAGTCGGAGTGAATCCGCAGAAGGTCATAGAACACGGACAGAAAATAAGGGAGAACAGTATTTATATTGATACACAGGATTCGGAAGACAAACAAGAATTACGTTGCGTAATCATGGACATGAGCGCATTAAGTTACATCGACTCCAGTGGCGTATTCACGCTACATTCAATTATAAAAATGTTCGATCAAATTGACATACATTTCTACCTCGTCAACTGCACGAGTCCCGTTTTCGAAACCATCAAGAAATGCGACTTGTATTTGCACGGTAAACTGACGTTCAAAATTTTTGCGACGATACAGGACGCGAAAATGTACTTGGAGAAAGAACTCCACTCAAGATAATATACGCCTAAACATGTACTTATTCTATCAACGGTGCAAATATTTATGTGAATATATTTTTGTTTTCCTTCTTTATGTGATATTGTTACTAATTTTATAAAATTTGGAAAGGGTATTAAAAACTTAGAATTCGTAGTACATTTGAGAAAGTACAAGTATGTTTTGATATTTGTAAAAAGCTGGAGCACAACAAATTTGTTTTGTTTCATGTAATTGTAGAAAGAAGTAGCATCAGACGTGTAACACAGAATTGCTACTTACTTGCTAGCCGTTTAACAACGAATGTACTTTTTACAATTAGTACTTCAATAGTATTCATTTAAATAAGGTGCTACGTAAATATTATGTATCTGGAGGAACACGACAATATTATTTGTAATGTGTATATTTTTTAATTGAAGTATATATCGACTGTATAAAGGAATAAGATAAAACAATCGTTGACGAATATTTTAGACTGACAATGAGTTTAGTAGCCATAATTTCTATGAATTACTGTACAATATACTTAGCCACATAGAACGCAACCGAACTTCAAGTACCTTTTAACTTGTGATACTACATGTACGCTATATAACTTTTTTAAATGTAAAGGTACTTATATAAAGATTATACGTATGAATTGTATTCCAAAGGCTTTAATCAATTAGAATGTAAATCAGCAACTGCTTTATCTTGTCATGATCGAGGTGCGCGAAAAGAAATGAAGCAAAACCGTCGATTAGTCGAGCAATCACAGACCATTTATTCACAGTGATCACTCTATGTACAAAGTAACAGGTTCCGGTTACAATAGGTAACACACTGTCACTATTAAGATTTGTTCTGATAAATGTGC